AAATGGCCTTAGTATATAATTTGCCAGTATTCCCAAATCGCACGCCCACACAAACACATTTAATTTGCATAATAATTGTGTTTTATACTTTAATTGCAAATTGTTTGTGGAATCAGGCAGCATGGGGCTTTCTTCCCCACCCTTGGGTCAATGTTGATTTCATACCATAGTTCACTCATGTTCAGATCCGTTGATGTCTGTTTATCACCGTTTTACCACCGATTTGTTTATCACCGTTTTGTTTATCACCGTTTTGTTTATCACCGTTTTGTTTATCACCGTTTTGCTTATCAGTCACCTGCTGCTCCCTTTGCCTCAGACGCGAGATGACCCAGATGTCTGCCCATTGTACGACTGAGCGAAGGACTCATTTGATTATTTTCCTCAATTCTATCCTTCGTAGTTATCTTTGTTAGCTACTTTAATTTGTAGGTCCCTGAGTGTTTTGCTTTCCTTTATACCTATTGCATTTAAACACGGAAAAACTATTTTCTTTTCTAAAACTCCTTAAGATGGATTTGTAGCAGTTCACAAAACGGAACAATCCATATATATTATATTTCCTGGCATCTATCAAGGTTCTGATGAATATTGCCAAGTGGACGGGTATTAGCGTTTGAGATCCATTCTCTGGTAATAAAAATGTAAAATATCAGTTTTAATAGCAATGCCGGTGTAGCGTCCACTTACCTGCAGTTACGGCCAGAGGTCTGTAGGGGGTGCCGGCCTGTACAAGGGGATAGAGAGAGAGAGAGCCGGGCCATCGAGAGGCTGGCTTCCCCTCCCCTACCCAGGTGAGGGGCTGGGGGGCCTTTCCAGGATCCTCTGGAAGATTCCAGAAAGGGGGCGGTACCGGGGGTGGAGAGTCCCCGTGACAGGTATAAAAGGCGGCTCTCAGGTCGGCTCGAGGCAGTGCTACGAAGACCAGCTCGGCTGGGACGCTGGGACCGGACGGCCTTGTAAGGGCCGGGGCTGAGCGTGGACCAGTGGTCAGGACCCGCACCTTGGCTGGGTCGGGTCAGCCTAGCCTCCCCCGGGCACCCCGAGCCAGAGAGGGCTCTAGTTACCCCGAGTGATATGGCACGCTAGCCCGGAGAGCGGGGTGCTGTGTTAAGTTGTTATAGATAAAAGTGTTGCCTCCAAGTCACGCCGCAAGTCTCCTGGAACTCACGACACTGGTATTTAAATTCGCAGTTGTTGGCAACTAAATTCGCGGGCATTGCATTTTGGTATTTTGAAGAGTGGTGGCGCAGTTAGTGCACTGCGCTATGAACCCATGGCTAATGTCAATGGTGAGTTATATCTAAACCGGTTCTGGGCCCCCACTTTTCCAAGCCACACTGACCATTGTGGTGAAGTATGGTCAATAAAAAAACCCATGACGGACGTGATCGAATAATAGAGGGCTGAAATTATGAGAATTTTGATTGTACAGTAATTGGATATCAACTTCCCAACCAATACGCCATACCAGATTCCAATACACTGTTTTAGCAGTGTGGTGGGTACATGGCCAATTAAAGTTAAATTATCTATATGCCATAAATGTACGTTAAAATATATTGTCTTACATATTGATGCATTTGACACTGTCTTGCGTAACCTGATGTCTGGCACTCTTCAATACGCACGGCTTAAAAGAAGACTGGGCGGGCTTTATGTGTCGGAGCATAAACAACAGCAGCCTTTGTAAAGCAGCATCCTTGTGACAGTAAGTCAGCTGATAGTCAGCTGGGAAAAAACATTCCAACGTGACCAGTGACATACGATATCAAATGTAACTCACAAAGTTCCGACAGCTGATTTTACAGATTTTAAGTAAAATCATGGAGCCGTGGGTCACCGAGTGATGGACCGGGTCATTCGAGACGCACCGCAGCACGTGACCCAGCCCGCTTGAGGCCGTGGCACCGACTTCTTCAGCACCAGCTAGACTGCTAGAGTGTCCACTGTGCATTCCGAATGTGTACAACAATGGCACATTGAACCTCCCTCCCTGACGAAGGCTATATCTATCCTTCCGTCTCAACAAAAGTAGACGTGGGCTGATAAAAAACACAAACCGATTAAGGTTAATTTATTTATATGAATAATTATACTTTACACAATAAAAAAGTGGTGTTTTTTTTCTTAATGTTAAGAAAAAAACGCCACTTTTTTCAAATTTTCTTGCTGTGGATTTCACGCCTGATGATGATTGCTTGTTGCAGTCGAAACGTCGTGAGAATTGTAGTGTTTCATATTTTTATTATTTTATTATTATTTCCCTTCTAGGTGACTTTACCGAAAGAACCTGCAGTCACGAAAGCTTTAAATCAGAATTTACACAATAAGTTAAAGGACGACATCTACAGGACTGTCGCGCACAAGCACAAATTAAATAGCCTTAACCTCAATCTAATATACTATTTACGTTACAAGACAGCAGTAATATTGAATTGAGTTTGTTTTTAATGTATTCGTTAAATTATAAAATAAAGCACTACAAATATTTTGAAATAGTCACCTGTTGAATGTCCCATGTATCCGAGGTAGTAAAGCTAACAGAGACACCGATACCAAGTTATATTGTTATCAGCACGATTTATAGTTATCACTTCACCTAGTAGTAATGACGACAGGTTGAGTTTACTTCCACTGCCACCGTATACTCTTTGGTTCTTTCGGTAAAGTCACGTAAATGAAGAATAAAAATAAGAAAAAATAAGAAAAATAAATTAACGAAATTAAATCACGACGTATCGGAGGCAACACAAGCTTCCGTCATTAGGTGGAACAGCCACAGCAAAATTACTGTAGTGAGTCATGGAAACTTCAAATCTAGAATCCTCCCGTATAGTTACGTCGTGTCTGTGGGCAGATTAGTCACAGCACACATGCCATGACACTGCATGACCCAAAAGTATCATATTATTAATCAGTGGATTTAGATAAGCGCTGACTTGTGCCGTGACTGGCGGAAGGGCCCCTACTTTGCCTACTCTTCCACGTTGGCCAGACGTCCCGGAAGACGTGGGGGCACCCACACTGCACCCCGCCACTCGCGATCCACCAGTCGATCATCTGTGGTGTACCCATCCATTGTTGGGTGGAATTCGTACTGGTACACGAGTTATATAATTGTGTTACTGCTAGTTATGAAACATTGTTGTGGGTAGGATGCCAGGCACACTTTCTACATCTTTCTACATCTCGCAGCACCGCCAGGGGCATGCTCTCCAGCACCGAGTGATTCTATGGAACTTAAGATTCGATCCCTCCTTGGTCCCACAGGAGCACACATCAGACGGGAATTTGAACGGTGACTTTGTATCTCCCGCTGCGACACGCCAGAGGGACGAGGTAGACGTTGGTTGCGAACAGAATTGACCCTGCCAGGCGCGCTGCATTTGCAAGAGAAAATATAATAGACTATTAACCAGAGGTGGGAGGTGAAATAGGCCCAATGACCTGACCCCAGAACCCTGTCACAGAAGGCTGGTTGTGAAATCAATTGAAAGTAGTATAATTTTGACAAAAGTCTCACCGTGGCTAAGTTTAAAAGGGTACAACATAAAAAAGAATGTGCCAAGGCAAGCGTCACATCCCGACGACACTCGCAAAATACAAACAGATGAACAAAACGCTTTTCCAGTGACTGCGTTGCACAACTGGCTACAATTCTGCTCCAGATTGCTCGCGACGACACTGCATCAGAAATAGACGGGTTGATATTCCCATATTGCCGAGTGTGAGAGCACGCATATGATTTTGGACAACCAAAAATGCCATTAAAAGTAAATGGGGGAAATCAGCGAGCCATTGTTGCCAATTTCTGCATTGGGCCCAACATTGCAAAGACTTTTGAGCTTTACCAGAAACAAACAGTATTGATCGGTCTGCCGATTGTAACAATCAGCCTTACAAAATTCATAAATCACTGTCAAATGTCCGACGTTTGGAAGCAGGGTCAGCCCTGGAATCCGGTTCAATCAGTTTCGCTACTTGACAAAAATGCCACGAAGTCGACGAAAACGAACCGTGGCCACTCGGGACTCAATGTGAACACTCTTTACCACACATTGGAGATGTGTTCTAAACATAGCAAATGCTACTTCATTACATGGGCATTTCCGTACATATCGAAATGACTGATTAAAAAACGTTACAAATGTAATGCTGGGTACAGCAGATGTGCAGTTTGTCACACGCTGCACTACAAACAAAATCCACACGGATGCGTGGTCGCTTCCCACCCAGGGCAGATATTGTGGCGAGCTGTGAGGTGTCCTGGTCGTGCGACTCTTGATGAAGGCACACAGCCACCACCGTGGACAAATAACCCCGCACACAGTCAAGCGATCTGCACGACTGCCACGGTGTAAGGGGGAGGGGGCTTCATCCAGCAGTGGATAGACAAACGGCTGAACAATAAGGAGTTTGTATCTATGATGCTACAGCACAGCTGCAGCGTGAGAAGAGCGGGGCTTAAAGTGCACTGGTTGATTGTTCAGCTACGAGATGGCAATCTGTCACTGCACTTGTTGGGCGCAAGCCCAAGGCTTTAGGATCTGAAATGGCATTTGGCTTAAACACCGACAAGATGGAACAACTTAGATTGCGTTTTTTTTATACCTTAGAATAAGTCACAATAAACGAAAAAATGTAAGCTCGTAACGTCCAAGTCGAATGAGTGTAGTCAACATGTAATCGTCGATCTGCGGTATTATAACAACTGTAGTAGCATTCTAAGGAGAGATTTTAAAACTGTCGTGGCTACGTGAAAGTTCTCATTGCCCTGGTTGTAATTCTTGCGTTGCATTTATTTGTGATATCGCCGCACACCGAGTTGTGCATAATGTTCTTTCAAAGTCCAATATCTCTTCTGTTGAAGTTATGCTGAGCTTGAAGCACGTCCACTGACTGAGAATATTCCATATTTCTAGTCCAAAATCCATATTTAATGTTACAGAGCACTTCTGCTCCAACACATTTGATATAAGTTGAAAACAAACGCAAAACACATTTTAAACATTTATTTACATGTTAAAACAAATCCTGAAGTTGAACGGAAATGTTATCCAAGGTACTTACCAGGACTGCATGTGGAAGTTAGCCCCAAGATACACAGTGATGCAATGTAAAAAACTGTGCTTCAGTCGCAGCCCGAGAAAAAAAATCGGCAACTGCACAAGACAATTCGCATTCCTATCGAGTAACATGTCCCACTCTCCCAGGAAAGAAACATTGTACCTGATATTTTCAAAGAAGAATAATGCATTTAACTAAGTTGCATAACAGTACATCTAGAATTACACAAATGGATTTAAATAATGCTCAAAATATTAACTATTTTACAGAACAGAAATTAACTACAATGGCACATAAGCACTTCAATGGGATTACGCAATAACATCCCTGTACTTGAGAAATGTTCTTTCTCGTGACGATCCATTGCAATTTTTTGGTAAACACCAACACTTTATGAATTGTGGGCAAATCAATGCCCTGGCAGAGATTATTTACTCCATAGCCTCAATGTATTTGTTTTCCATGTCTTAACATACAAATAAACGAGCAATTCCAAAATGGAACACTTATGGCCAGGATCCCAATGTGTCCTATATACCCACTGTTTTAAGTGTAGGAGATGCAGGAAGATAATGCAAAGCGTGTTGTTATGATATCTAGAGCTGGGTTGGAGGTTCAGAAATAAAAGGTTATATAATTTTGTTTCTCATCCAATGCAGACACCAAACTGGACACACCACATCGTTGACCAAATAGCTTCGACACCTCTACAGGACAACTGGTGGACATTATTTTTCTCACAGGTATGCTGGCACAGTTTCAAAGAATGTGAACAAGTAAAAAAAATCCACATGGATAAAATATTTTCATTTCTATTGAACATTCGATACATGGAAAACATTTGTTTTATTATGACAAACAGTTTTAAATTATTCTTTTTTTTTGCAAACATGTGTATAATAATTTTGCAAATAAGCTTCGCGAATTGCAGCTTATGGCAATACCATCGGGTTTTCCCCCCACTTCATTTACAGCATTTTCTCCCTCTTAAGATGTAAAATGACAACCAATATCAAAAAACACTTTTCACATTTCTATTTAATTTGCAAAACTAAAGAATATAAATTACATAACCTTTTTAGATGTATTAGTGGCTCCTGATGTAAAAAATATTGGTATTAAAATGGATAGAATCTCGGTGCTGTATAAAAGGTCTACACCACCAGATGAAAGAGATGTCCTACTCTTGCATGACAAAAAAAGCAAGTTGTAGAAAATACAGTACTTTGGAGACGTTATACTGTTAAACAAGAATATGCCCAGGCATTCACGTATGAAAGCCCCACAAATTGTGCAACGTGATCATATCGACAAGGACTCCAACCTCGTGCAATAAAACACACATAAAATAAAGACACTGGCCCCTAAAGCCACAGCTGTAAGGCACTTATCTGGAACAGACATATTTCCATGTTAACTGCTGCAGAATGAACCTTGCCACACAAAGGTGATCCCGTGCAATTTACCACACAATGAAGTCAAGGCCCAAGCTGACGTGTTGGTTTGAGTTCGTTTAACTTCGTGTTATATCAAGATGGAGCTATCGGCCACGTTGCCCGTGTCGATGGGCACCTTGACCATCGAGTCAGCGATGCTCTGCACCTCCGGATCGGTCTTCGTGTATCGGCCATGTTGGTGCACCACCTCTTCGGCCCTGGGCTTCGCCGCCGGGTTCTTCCTGCGTATGCTACGGCCGGATGTGATGAGGTCGCCGAAGCCCTTCGTGTGCGAGTACGCGTAGGTGGAACGCCGCATGGTGCCCAGCCGCTTGAAGGGCTCGCGTGCGGGTGGCGTCGCTTTGTGGATGCCATCTTGGATCTGCACGGCGGGCATTTCACAAGCAGCGTTAATCATTATAAACGTCCCCCTTGCACCTTTGCGTAATGAGTGCATCCGATCGTGCCGCGATACGAGCAACCGCGATAAGCAGTCTCAAACTTGCGCATTCTCGCAACCCTGAGGCAGTTTCAGCTGTCGGGAGCAAATGCAGGGGGGTGAGAGAGGCGACCAGGTATGGTTGGTGGTACCCCCAGTGCTGTGACACCTGTATTTGTGCGGCCTGTGATCGATATTGGTTTTCGAGGCCACTTCCAGTGCTCTTGGAATTGTTATTAAACCAAAGTGTAGGAACAAAATGGTTATCGCCATGTGCTATTCATTTCTTGACCCGAGTATGAGCATCAGCCATGGCTATCAGTAGTGCCAGGTTCGTCTACCTTAACAATGAGGAGATCGCTGGTTGACTCATGAGGCTAATGGGTTTATCACAGACTTATCGCTATACACAACGTAAATATCTCTTCTGAATTCAGCCTGGCTCAGCCATGAGGGCTTATTCAAAAGACAGGAAATAAGAATGCGCTCATTAACATGAGCCATGTCTAGTGCTCGTGATAAAACTAAATCACTTCCAGTTGTCCTACCGGTGTGAGCTCTACTACCATCTTAAAGAGTTCATGCAAGAAAAAAAAATGCTTCACTCGGTGCTAAACTTCCAAACGCACAAGGTGTTAATACATAATCATTTACAACGCTTTGTCAATCCACTGCTGCAAGGCCTCCCAACACCATGCGTCACAGAGGTTGTTTGGCCATACTTCACCACGCTGGTCAGTATGGGTTAAGTCAAGGGGGGTTGCTCAGGATGAGTTTGGTTATCACTCGCCACTGATGTTAGTCGTGGCCGGGAATTGTCCGGTTCATAATGCAGTGTGCTAACCGCTGAGCCACCACTCCATCTGAACAGCACAACTAAATGTCAGCAAAGAAGAGTAATACAGTACTCTTCATAGAGGGCAACTTATGAGTACTCTGTACCTTATCGAGAAGTGTAGGCTTGGTACAACGAACGAAGAACCTCATGGCAATGACAGGGATCAGAGCAATGGCCACTGTCAAGATGATGATGAGCCACAGGTAGGGCTGCTTCAGGGAGTTGCTGGCCGTTCCTGGAATTCCACAACAGCGCGACACAAAACTTCCATCATTATTCACATTTAGATATGTAATACAAGCACACTGTACGCAGTCTTTAAAATACTTCACCCACTATTAATCGATGTACGTTTACCGTGAATGCCAGCCGGTGCGCTTATGTTTTCAGAGTAAAGACCGGTCCGTGACGGCCTTTTGTGGCTGTCATGAGGGTCTGCACTGAATGGATTTAATTCCATTCAAGGAAAGCGAATTTTCTGCTCAAATCAGCATGGAGTGGGGGGCACATTCATCTTCATCGATGCCGAGACAGCAGTGGAAATTTCACATTCCTATAGCAGGGGGCCAGTCTCCCTGACGAACAATCACCGATCCAATACGAGTCATACCACTGTTGGGACTTCCCACAAAGTGATGCTCGTGTTATTGGCCTCAAGATGGATGATGGGCTCCAGTGAACCCCCGTTTGGATGTACAGCCACCGACTGTGTTGTGTGGCTGTACCAGCTCGCTGGATACAACCCCCGACTACACGGACGTTAACGAGCCCCCAAATCGGTGACCCACCTAAAATACCCAACGACATCTACTTCCAGTTCTAGGGTTAACATCTGAATCATTTTTGTAAATATATTTGAAATAGCTCTAAAAACTACAGCATATATGGATACACATTTATACTTATGCGATCAACCCAAAAAAAACGGTATTATGCACTATACTCTACATCGCATTTGAAAGCTTAGGTGGGACAGCAGTATCCGTACACCTCGTTGTCGTACAGCAGAGACGAGCCATTGGCAAACCTGTGAACTTGAAATTGCTTGGGAAGATGTAGTGCAGTCCGTCGCTGTGCAAGTCAAACATGATGGCAAAGTAGAGGGCGATGCTTCCGAAAACTGAGAAAGTGTTCAAGTATGTCCAGAATGCTGTGTCCAGGGCAATCTGGAAAAAAGAACGTAGTTTGAGATGAAGGCCAAGGTTTGGTTTTGGGTTGCTCACGATGCCAACATTAAGGTGTTCAAGGTTTTTTTTTTGTTGTGTCTTCAAAATGACTGGCTATTAATATGTTTGCAAAAGAAGCACGTTTAATAATAATTATTCTACTTTGGAAAAGTGACATCCAATCATGTTATTGGTCACATGAATGGTAATTGATGTTTTTGTTATTTATAATAGAAAACCAGAGAACAATACGAGTTACTGATAGGTTATAGCAGGTGTGTATAGCATTTGCCATCCAAGTGCTTCGGAGGCAAGGGCTGGGGGATGACAACTTGTGTTTGTGGAACTCCCTACTCATGGGTGTCAAGGTCACCATTTCCTGGCTCTGCAACATATGGGCAGAACAGCAAAGTGGATTTAACTCCATCTGTACTGACACTGAGTGGTCGCCCTCCTTTGCACACGTAGCTATTCTCCCACAAGTATAAACACTCATCAAAGGAGTTTGCCAAACATCCCAGTATAGGACCACAGAACTTGGGCAATTGTTGGCGCCAGTTTCCCACTTGCTTGTGATTTCACGCACATGTGAATCATTCTCTCTCTGAGAAGGAACGAACACGATATGCCTTACAAACTGTAAATAATTAAATTCATCAAGACAAGAACCACACCTTTCCCCCCGCGACCCGTTTGTTAGCCTAGCTAGCTCAGCATCCGGCGGCAACTCCCACTCCACCTCGTACCTGCAAGTTGACGATCAAGGTGAGGGAAGTGGCTGTGACGACGGCAAAGGATTGGTAGTCGTCAGGTGCCAGGCCATCGCTTCGCATCGTCTCCAGGAAGGCACCGTACGGGATGAAGAAGATAATGAGCGAGGTGATGATGCCTTGAATCAGGCATCTCCCAAAGATCTTGTAGTTGAAGTTGAGGTTTTTTTGTCCGGTTTCGTACAGCTCCGGGAACTTGAAACTCTTGGAGTCGCTCACATCCTGCACGCACCGATGCACGACACTGAAGATCGAACACCGCCCCCCCCCCCTCCCTCCCCATAGCTGCCGTTCCAGTTTCACATTATTTTGACAGCAATCGTTTTGAATGCTACCTATTCCCGTATAAAATGAGCACCACTTTAAGGAGGAGGTAGTTGTCTGTTGGAATGTCTTGCTCACACCATTGCTGGTGAAAGGGCAAGAGTTCTAAGACAGCTCCTCTAAAGGTAATTTGGTCTACTCTTCCATACTGTCCAGACGTCTTGTAAGGTGACAGTGCCCACACGTGAACTGTACGTACGTATTTTGAACATTATTTTGGAGCCAACCATGCTAATCAGAGATGAAGGACAACAAACTAAACACAAAAAGCGATTCTATGAGCACATCGGTCCCCACAATGGTAAAATACAACCCCAAAAGCTGGTTTGTGGTCGTCAACTAACATGGGCAATGCCAGATGGCCGTTTAAGCCGGGAGACTCTTTTACGTGGCTTCACCCGACAGCAGAACACCCAAAACATTTCAATGTATCTGCGAATTCTCTCATTCGCATGAACGGGTGGATTCGTGGACAAGTTTTCACGATGGCCACAAACAACCTCACTGCCGACTGCGATACCATGGCTGCGGCTAAGCTTCTGATTGCTTGTGCTGGGTCGCTGGGTCCTCCAAGGTGTGACATCCCCATCACGTGACGCGTCACGTGACGCGCCGTGTGAGGTGGCGAAAACCTCACGTCTGTTATCACGGGGCTACCCACTTTAACACATCGCGAACCGTGGTGGAGTGCGGGGGGGATTTACACTCCTGGGTTGTTCGACAAATCGCTACTTGCAGTCAACCTTGCATCAATAGATCGTGAAATCGTACTGCCCTCAGGTGTTATAACAGGTCGATACACACACAACACATCGCATGCTGTAAAATAGCACGTGTCAATTTCTACCGTGTCAATTTTGCTTCCAATGGTGTTTCTTAATTAATTATTCTTTGTCCAAGCAGACAAGCTCTCACAAACTAGGGCATAAAAATTAATCTAAAAGCACACAAGAAACATGGAAAGATTCGTGCTTGGAATTGTGTTGAGAAATGTAAGAATGCATAGATTTAAGACCATACAAAGGTTAATGACATAATTAAACCCGTTGACAAACGTAAGTAGGCTGTGGGGCAGAACACATCGCGAGAGGGGATGATGGCCTGTGGTCGAGACTAAGTCAAATTGGCAGCCAAAGTTGGCAATGTGCCCGAAAGTATGCACGCTGTGGAGATGAAGCAATAACATGAGCTCGGGATGCAGGTGTTTGATGACGGATTGTTACGTTGCAGGAGCGCGAGATATGGCAATGACTTGGGGTGACCTCCCAGCAGTGGATTGATCATGGTTGGTAATGATGACGATAATGATGGGGAAAGCAGCTTGCTGCTTGTAAATACATTTTCTATTACCAGGGCTCTGTTCAGGGGCAATTTTTACGTCTCCTTGAAGAAAAAAACAACGGTAAAGGAGTTGACCCATAATGCGCGCAGACGTGAAAATAAGGCAGAAGGGGGGTGTTGAGCGGAGATCGGTGGCACTTGGCACGCAAGAACAGAGCTACTGAGAGAAAAATCCTTCCTTACCTGATCAAAAAGTCCCATCACCAGCACAGGCAGAGCCGAGTACAACATGTTGTAGAGGGTGATGTACCAATCGTCGTACACAGCCTGCCAAGACATCGTACTTCATTAATCAACCCATTGGTCACATAGGTATGCGAGGCACCCGTCTAATCATATTGCAGGTGTCCAAGTTTTACACAAATCTCTCTTTCAGGGTCACATATAAGGTATGTGTGCATGCTGAACTTCTTTTGCACCGTATGTAACCGTGCTGATCGAAGGTGCGGGGGGAGGACAAGAAACTAAACACAAAAGGCAGTTCAAGAAATTAGTTTTCAATTTAGATCTGCCGATTGACTAACTCCAGTGTTCCCATGTCATGCTGCTGGTTGAACAGAGGCGAGGTGGCACGAGGGGTGGCATTCAAGCAACCTGCTCCATCGTCTCAACCGCCGGCCGTGCCGGGAGAGAGCGGGAGTGCGTAACGCACCCCGTGTGTGTGTACGCAATGTCCACGGCTCTCACCTGGGCGGAGAAGCCGTTGAAGAAGCTGAACCAGAAGTGAACGAGCGTGAAGGCGAAGTTCTTGTAGAAGAAGTACTGCAGGAACTTGCACATGCGCAGGTAGGACCAGCGGCCGTGCACGAGCAGCAGGCGCTCCAGGAAGCGGAACTGAGCGAAGGAGTAGTCGCTGGACAGGACGGCCTGCATGCCCTCCTGCCCGCTGATGCCCACGCCGATGTGAGCCGCTGCAAGCGAGATGGAGGGGGAGACGCGGCTCAGCGAGAGTCTGGCGCGACCTCCGGAAGCGGTTACAGCCCCACATGACGCACCTCTAGGGCAACTCGGCACATGTCGATTGCACGGGCGAGTATCTGCATGCAAAACGATTTTTGATGTTCCGTAAAACGGTACTCATGGTTATCAACCGTGCATAATGATGATGATAGTCTGAACGAATCCCTGACCACGATTGTGAACTCGCAACCTTCCCACTGAGCCAACGGGCTCCGATAACGGCGGCACCAGCCGAATTGTTCCAGCCAAACGTCAACAAAAGATAGGTGCACCGTGCCCAGCTCACGGCGTCTCGAGCCGTCGACCACCAGCTCGGCGAAAAGGAAATGGAGGGGGGGGGGGGCGATGCCTCACTCTTGATCATGTTGACGTCGTTGGCGCCGTCGCCGATGGCCAGGGTGACGGCCTGCTTGTGCTTCATCACCATGCGCACGACGCGCGCCTTCTGACGGGGCGACACGCGGCAGCAGATGACCGCCTCGCAGGCGCAGGCCAGGCTCACGAAGCGCTTCTCGATCCTCTCCCTCTTCAGGATCTCCCGTTGCTTCTCCTCCTCGCGCTGCTCCGCCTGCTGCCTCGCGTCGCCGAGCTGCTCCATGGAGACATCGCAGCCTGCTGCTGCTGCTGCTCCCCCGCCCCGGGGCTTGCGTCGCCTGGGCAGTTTGAGTCTGTCCAGACGTTTCTGTTTGTTGTCGGTCAGGATGCCGTTCTGCAAAAAAATACCCACACAACAGCACGTCGAGGATCGGATTCGTGAATTGGCAGGCACACCTCGTGCCGCCGATTAGCACGGTTTGCTACCGTACGGTGCGAAAGACGTTCAACATATATACATACGTACATGGAATGTTTCTCTAAATATGGAAATCAAACTATTTGTTTTCACAACTGTAAAAACCTATAGAAAATCACATGAGAAGAAATATATGGATTCATCAATTATTCCCCTGATTGTTGTTCTGCCTCGTGTAGTTTGCCATCAGCTGATCTGTGTTAATTTTTGGCTCCGAATAGTTTTCGTTGGCTTTATTCCTCAGTGATTTATGTAAGATACCTAATATTACATTTCCTGCTGGGCAATTAGTTGTTTTAGGACTGCATTTGATTTTCTAACCCGCGTGTTTGTTCTCGTGAAAACAAAGACTTGCAGCCTCAGTGGGCTCTCCCTTTGGTTGTAAATAGAGGATTTTTTTTTCACAAAACAATGACAGATTAAGTTTTTAATATCATGGAACTCTACTATGACAGCAGAGCCATGTATAATATTATCGAATCATCAGGAAGGGAATTAGTGATTTATCTTTCAAGAGTCAAAGCAAAGCTGAGGTACACACGTGATCAAGTATTCCACCTAAAATTATTTTTTACACATCCCATCAGCCACACAGCCATCTGGGAGCACGCAACTTCAGCAGTATTGGTTCAATGCAAGCAAACTCTTGACCGGATTAAACATTGCAGTGTCTCATCAGCAGCCGTGCTTGCTTGAACCAATGCTGGTGAACTGCCGGTTGCTTATCGGCAAAGGCCCTCCCTGTCACACATTTGTCCTAGCTAGACGCACAACTATTTGATAACATGCCGTAATATAGCGCAGATTAAAAACAGGAGCCTTACCAGACAGCCACCAGTTATAATGATTGCATTTTTCTTCCCCTTGAGAAACTGCTTTGTGAAGTCCACTTCCGCTTCCTTTCCCTTCGCATCTCTCTTGATCGTCTGACACGCTTGTACATCACTCAGCATTGTACTGGAAGCACAGACATTACACAAATCGTAACCACCAGTGCTGAACCCACAGACACATGGCTCCACCATCCCAGGTTTTGGACACAGACACTCGTATGCAGTATGCGGTCACAAAAAGCATTCTGACTGAAAACACATAATTATTATAGATGCAAAATATGCATTCACGAGTGATAGATGACTGGGTGGATGCTACAGTGTGACTAAAGTTTATGATATAATGCGGTGCAGGCACATCTGAACCTTGGCTTCAAGTCCAGAGTAATTACGCAAAGGAACTGGTTTACGATGTGGAATTCGTTCCCAAATTTTCTGGACCCACGGGAACACTGTCATCGCTCAAAATGTTTTCTCAGGGCACCACGCAGTAAACAAAAAACGAATCTGGTACTTTGTGAAGAGAATCTAGAATCTGCAACAACTCCGTGGAGCCCCATTCCACAGGCCTTGCAGAGACTGTCAGTGCAACGCCGAAGATTGTGCGTTTGTAACAAATCAGAATCTGTATTCATACTGGAGGAATCCGATGAGCTATGAAGCTCTTTTTCACAGATGTCCTGTGTATGATTAAGTGCATAGAAACTCACTCGTATAAATGCACCTGGTAAAGGGACGACTATGTTGTGTACAGTGCAAACATAGTATTCTTTACCTAACGTCGTCTCCATAGCATATTTGCATGTCTTCAGTCAGAAGCTGACAGGCGTAGCCAATATTTTCTGCGGTTTCTGCGAAGGAAATAATAAATAACAACACGATTTGTACGTTTGATGTAAGAAGATAACACCCAAAAAACGCAATTATAGTGCGTTACTCAAAAAGCACTTAATTATTTCAGACCACTAATAAAATATCTTGAAGCAATGTTTAAGCAGTTATGCAAGTGCCGTGACTAACTCGGAGACGATAAGACTTTGAGGCACTTCTTTTATTAACGAGCACCATCGGTATAGTACACACCCTACGTGGGTACACACTCTCCAGTCGCTCGCCAATACACAACTCTACGTGTGTACACAACATTTCTGTTGCTAGCCTATACACAACACTACGTGTGTACACAATATTTCTGTTGCTAGCCTATACACAACACTAACCATCCAACGCTGACGGCGCTGAACCGAGACAGCCAACAACTATCGAGCAGCGAAATATCGAGTGAAGACGACGGCGATGATGGCGACGACCTTGAGCAGCACGGCGGGGATCCCACTCCAACAACAGCCACGAGGTCCCTCACAGGGGCCCTTTTATTCTCAGCGTGGCCTCGCTCCGCCCCCTCTCTGGAACCTACTTGCGGGTTCCCGACGCTTCCCCATGGGCCCCCCTCTGTGACCTTTCCCCCCCCTTGATGTCCCTCTCTGGTGTCTATCCCGGCCTGCTGACTTCAGTACTGCCGTGCAATTCAGTTCCCCTTTTTCGCCAGCAGCCAGCACTATGCCACTACACATGCATGTTATATAATCTACAGGCCTAGTTAACAGATCCGGTCAAAATAATTATTTCAGTGATTACAATTATTTTAATTAGTTTTAAAACATTACATTCGTTCGTTTTAAAATGTGAAAATAACACTTCGTTTAAAACACTTTTCATACATGAGGATGGTTGGCGACTTACGGTACTAAAAAAGTTAAAGATACATAGAAGTGAAGCCATTTAATTGTAGAGTAAACAATGATTGTAAACCGTGGTAAACTACAAGAGGCAGAAGAGTACCTTGTTTGTCTCCTGTTAAGACCCAAATCTTTATCTTTGCTGCTGCCAGTTTGGCGATTGCCTCCGGGACACCATCTTGAAGCTTGTCCTCGATGGCCGTCGCTCCCAAAAGCTGCGAAGGCACGAGATTATTTGTGAGCAGCACATCACCATTTGAGAAGACCATTCAAGACCATTCAAGACCATTCAGAGGTTGTAAAGGACAATGGAAGTGACGCCACGTAATTGTTTCTATTGTATTTCCCTCCCCATACAGGATCCCACTCGTGCTGCCACCTCTGAGATAGGAAATAAAACTGAAATTGGGATGAACAAAAATCGAAGAATATCTCATAATACCAGAAGAACTAAATGTAAATGACAAAAGCTCAGATGTTTAATGTTCCTGGAAGGCTTACAGGTTTCCCAGGGCAGCGACCTCAAAAACAAGATGAGAATCTTGACTGGTGGCAACATGGCTAGATCCCACCATTTTCCTTCTTGGTTGCTGTAGATGCCTCTTAAGTAACAACCAATCTCATTTAGATATGGGCTGGGCAGAATTAAGTGAAAACCAAATCTCTATATAGTATAGCTCCCAGCGTGTAGCCATTGATGACAAAAGACTAAGACTATACAACTTGCGACACTTAAGAATCTGGTTTAGTCACAGCATTTGAGCATGCTCTTTAATTTCATTTTACTAATAACAATCAAGCTGCCCTGGTCTTTAACAGATTATAAGTTGTCCACCGACGTTACCGGGGAACGTATAACTTGTATCACAACCGTGCGGCGCGAGTCCTACGGACGTAGCTTACCTTCAAGTTCGTTTCAATCTTCTCGTACACAAGGCCCTGCTTCTTCTCACGGTCGGTGAGGGACATGCTGGCCTGCTCGTACTTCTTGCTCCAATCCAGGTACTCCTCCTCGCTCAGGTCCTTGTAGGACAGGCACAGCGTGCGTAGGCTCTCGGCGGCAAATGTCTGTAAAGATCGATGGAACATCACGATTTGAACGCAATCGCAACAGGCGTACATGCGCAGCCAAGCCAAACACATCTCCCAAACACCAATACCTGTAGTCAGAGCCGCATCAAGTAAGATTAACCTACGACCAACGTTTAATAGACTGGCGAAGACATGGACCCATAATCAAGCACTACTAGCATCCACCAGTGCTGTCTAAAAAAAAGCCTTCTAGTTCAATCGATTGTGTTTCACCAGTCATCAATTGATATGGCTAATTGTTCACTGCAAAATCCCTAAATACCAGGGACTAAGCTGGTGTTCGGATTCATACTGTGTGCTGGTACATGATGTTTAAGGTCAAATAAGATTTATGACGTAACAGTAACAATGTCGTCACTCTACTCGCGGTCATCTGCACGATTCATCGTACACAACAGAAGAATACACACGACGCACTGTGGGATGGTTTCCAGTGCCTTTCACCGTAAATATTTCAACTCTGTTGGCATTTATGTCAGGGAATAAAACTGTCCTTTATACATCTCGATGACCAAGCAGTATTTCAAGATGAGAAGCGTGGATTCAGCCAAGTGGCTGGATGGCGAAGGCAGCGCCCCCATACGACTGGTGACAGTCTCGGCACCGTCGCTACATCAATGCCATATTATTCTGCTCTCAGGAATTACACATTTCGGCTTGATTTCAATTCCACGAAGCCTCTCTGTTCAGGGCAAGTGAGACGGTGGATCGTGTTGTATGAACAACTGGCAATCTAAGCCACTTCCTGTGGAAGCTGACCTGTGGCGTGACTTTTTCCTGGCCTCATTAACAACCATTCGTAGCCGACATTCACTGCGACCCGTGTGAACTGCCAGTAGACACGAATTAGGTCTCGTAACAACTGCGATACAACTGTACTTCACGGCACGTCTACTGGACGTAGCTTTATTATAAATGTAAAAATGTAAGTTTAAGTGGTAACTCTAATGGTGACCTACATTGAGGTCCTTCTCTGTTCTTTCACGATTTGGGTCGTCCTTCTGAAGCCTCTCCAGGATCACCGTGTCGGCTCCTTTGCAGTACAATCGCAACTTTCCTTCTGGGCTCCGGACTGAAATCACGAGAGCACAGACACGCGCGTGTGCACATACACACACGCAGACACGCACGCACGCACACACACACACAGGCACGCACACAGGCACGCACGCAGACACGCACACAAACACAGGCACGCAGACACGCACACACATGCCGCAGACACGCATGCACACGCAGATACACAAGCGTATTTCGTAACCAAACACACAAACCCACAATGGAAGTGACATTTAACAAACCATAATTGTGGTCTCGTGAAAGCACGTCAACCCCACATGCTTCCGAACTTAAGAGTCCTTCCAGCATTTTAAAGCCGTTGCATGCCATGAGTGAACATGCAGCTTTGCTATATAATAATGAACGTTTTTTTACATAATTGTACAACAAAATAATATCACAAACCCACATTCTTTTTGAAGGATGGGTTTTTGCACAAACCCATTTCAGACGTTACACCTGAATAACCCGTCAGTGGCGTTACAGTGGCTTACATTCCTTCGCATGTTCCTTTATGCAATGTGCATGCTCAGCAAGCTGCCAGGACATTATCTTACTCGACAAAAAATATACCCAAGTGTGTTTTTTTTATTTGGTATGTTGTACGAACACTTACCTGGTTAAAGAGATATTACAACATGCACTCTACTGTAACAGTATATATTTTTTATTTTATTTCACAGCCATGTGACAATCCACTGCTGGTTGAAGCCTTCCCCATGCCATGTCGGCCATGGGGGGGTTTTTTTACCATAAGTCAGCACCCGCTGGCCGGCGCCGGCTGGCGACGAAGAGGGCACGAGATCCATGACCGAATCAGCTGTCACTCAGTCGCAGAAGTTAACCACGGAAATTGAACTTGGGTCGGCAGGTTCATAGCGCAGTGAGCCAACCACTTACCCCGTACATATGCATTACATAGCACGGAATTTTTTTTATTGATTTCAGCTTCGACTCTGTCTGTTTCAATCATGAGTCAGTTGGCCTACAGCAATGATTTCCTGTCAGAGCCAGCGCACACACGCCTGCGCGCTTCCATGTGCGTTCACGTTCAACGTGTCGCACACCGGCGGGGGCTTTCTGCACACACGTCCCTTACCGATGACGGACATGCGCTTGCGGTCGCTGTTGAAGTCAAGGATGTTGAGCAGCTCGTAGACACGCTCGGTGCCCAGCTCGGCGATGGTCACGCTCTCCAGCGTGCGGTCCAAGAACACGTAGCCAAAGTTGCGGGCGGCCGTCACCAACGCCCCCTCGTCTGGCGACTGAGCCTGGTAAATGAGGTCACCTGCCAGAGGCGGCACACGGCTTGGCATCACGCGCCGCCACTTCTCCCGACAAGCAGCGGGAGACTGGCTCCTGCTCCGTCAGACTGGCATCGTTTTGGCAAAGAGACTGGCATCGTTTTACGTCACCCTTTAAAAATTATGACGAATATTTACGTGCTTGAAAATAAAATGTAGCTCCCCGGCAAGTTAAGCTAAAGTCATTACGACGCAGTTTGTTGCAAATGAAATGTTAAATAATGCCAGTACACAGTACACAATCTTTCTAGAAACGCAAGATAGACAAACATTGTATATTGAATCATAGAAAGAGTTTTTTCTCCTTTTTCAAGAGTAAGCTGTTTGCAATTTCCCATATATTTATTAAAATATTAACCAAACTAACAACAATTTCATTGATTATACTGAATGTGAAATTTTAATTCAGCACGTACAGCAATATCATGCTACATACTTCTAATATGCAGACAATTCTTTTAGTTTAAATTCTCAACGCTGCCCGTTTAACTTAAGAAATGTACCACTACTTCAAAGGCTGCGTGTATAATTGTATGCTCATCCATTTAAGTGTACCCGAGTGAGAATTAAATCCAAACGGCTGTAACTCCACCGTACGTTTAGGTTCCCCAACACTGTCCGCGTGTAATCCCTGCGTGCCGTTCACGGGCCAGTGCCACCCGGAGAGTCGTACCCTCTTTTTCCTCCGCCATGACAGTGTGGCAGAGCGCGAGCAGCTTGAAGAATTCGCAAGCGGTGGGATCCTTCTTTAGGCGCACCAGGTTAACCAGACTGTGATCGTGAAACTCGAAATTCTTGTCAGCCCGCTCGTTCCAGCTCCAATCCACGGGGTTCTGTGGGACCCACGCCACGCGTTAGTCCCAGAGGCAGAGGTGGGACAAAGTCATTGTTATGCAAGTCCAAGTCGAGTCTGAAGTCATCAAATTCATGACTCGAGTCTGACTCGAGTCCAAGTCACATGACTCGAGTCCACACCTCTGCCCAGAGGTGTGCGAGAATGCACAGCACGCTCACAACTCACGTGGGCAGGAGTCTGACACTTTTGCGAGAGAAGTAGTAACTGCCAGTTATTTCAGGAGGGTTCTATATTAGAATGTTTGTCCAACATCAATGGCATTGTGTGTTTGTGCATGTATGTATATGTTCTTAGCCACTGAAGGAAACTGTAGAAGAACAGAAGAAATTCACGCAGGACAAGGGAGAACATACACACTCAACACAGTTGGGAATTGAACTCAGACCCTTCTTTGTATGAGGCCCAAGTGTTTACTGCTGCACTGCCCCCAGCAATCAAATGAGTGGAGTTTCACAATTTGCATTAACATGCAATATGTTTTTCACTGGGTGGAAATACACAAAGTATTTTCAATAGCTTGCGCAAAGTAGAAAGGACTTTATCGAATGCGCATTCATCATAAAAGAGTGGAGCAATTTACAAAGTACAACAGTTGCCTACAGGCGTTGTCAAAAATGCCACGAGTCTGCACAATCGCCCTCGTCCACATGCCAGATCTTTGACAACTCAAACCCAAGGCACGGCGCTATGGGCTTCTCCACTCGTGGCTGCATCTGCCCGTGTGGGTTCTGCGCCGCGTTGTTGAGCTTTCCGATTGATAACGAGCGCACAATTGCCTGGAATGGTTGCATGTCTATCGCCCGTGCGAGCTCACCCGCTATCATATCGCACGTACTGTATAATTGTGCACTCTCTAGCATACGGGAACCTAGGAAACCATTTTACATAGCGACAGGTAGCCAGGTACGTTTTATAATTATTCTAAGTGACTGCGACGGTGATCAGGGAGTGGACCCAGAGCCCCAAGTGCACAGCTAAGTACCAGGCACTTCCTGAATTTAGATTTGGGCGGACTTGGCACTGAGGAATTCAGCTGCGGTGTTGTGACGTGGAGGGCGTCTCTGATCTCTATTGCAGATATGCAATTTGCCCTTCTGAAGATGACTTTTTAAATAAAGTTTTGCCGTTTCACAACCCTCCTCCTCCCCCCCAGTGCTCAGTTTTTTGTGCAGTCACTCCCACTTGTCCGGAGGACAGAACACAATGCAGAGTCGACTCGTCGTCTACGAACTTTATTATTTTTGTTGTTGTTGTTGTCTATTCAGCCGACCTGTCATCGCCATCGCCGTCCCACCCATTGACAGAATTCATGACGGGAGGAGAGGGGACTGAGCGGACCGGCTACACATGCCCTCTGTACAGATGGCAGTTGTACAATGACGTGTGCAGTGCTGTAGCGTAGGAACGCAGCAATTAAAAAAGTATGGTTTGAGCCACCTATCGTGCACTGGTTAACCGACAACTCCTGGACTAACCTCGAACCTTGCAGGTTTGGTTAGTGAAGGGCCATTTTAATGAGTAGACATTCACAACTTGCCGAGCGCCTTATTGAATGAACCTTATTTATCGTCACTGAGTCATAATTTTAATTTGAACGAATGCTTACCTTTCTAACTGAACGCGTTTTTGCTTCCTTTGCAGTGTTGCCTGTGATGGTAAAATAAACAGAAATGCAAAATATAGCATTAAACCGACAACACATGAACTTGCAGCAAAATGCAACAACATCAGCTTACAACGTATTGATTACAAAGTGACCGCAAGTGGAGCCATGCACAGTTTTTTTCCCATATTACAAAGCGGTCAAACACGCACCGCCTCAACACTTTTGGTCTCGTCAGTACAGCGCCCTTGTGTTGTGGCTAAAAGTACACACAGCTGATGGACTCCATGCTCAACGTGGAGACGAGGCATTCGCTCAACTTGTTTGGGATCACATATTGCAACGATTCCACCAAACGCTCCTCCCTCCGTTCCCCCTTCGTCTCCATTAAGCCTCGCTCTCGTTTACTCGGATTTTATGCAACACGTTCTTGTTGCCATTCTATCTGCAGTCCGCTACGATTTTAAAATTTGACAAAATGCACCACACGTCCGGAGGATTCCACCACCAAACTCTCCACACCCACCAAAGGCCATTCCTGAGATGGAGCACTTCTTGAAGGTCATGATGTTCTGCGTGAGCGTGCCCGTCTTGTCGGTGAAGATGTACTCGATCTGGCCCAGCTCCTCGTTGAGCGTGGTGGTGCGCGCGTTGGACGGAGTATCGTTCACCTTGAAGTACATCCGCAAGTCCCAGTTGATGAAGAAGCTCTGGCCCAAGCGGATGACTTCCACGCTGCACGACAACGATACGCACCACACAGCAGCACTCGGAAGTCAATGTGTATCTATTTGTTTATTATATTTACAACTACAATGTAGAGACCTCAAGGCCTGCAATACAAAAACGCCTGCAAGGAGAAGCACTCTCAGCTATAAGTCTTTAATGGGTCTCAAGGTTCCTGCATTACGATATTAGGCCAGTTCCATTGCAATCAGAATCAGAATCAGAAACGGTTTTAATCGCCATGAAAGTTTACACATACACGGAATTTACTATGGCAGGAAGGTGCATACATTCAACATTGAGCAATCTTTAAAACTCGAATAGGTGATATACAGTCTAACTATACTAACGTTACAAAGTATAACGAATACTAACGGGCTAAAGTGTGTTGTGCTCGAAGGGAAATTCAAGAAAGCAGAAAAAAATCCTCGCATATCAAGAGACCACTCAAATGTCCACAAATGCATCTCTACAAACCCATTTCCTGTACTGCCATCTCCTGGCCACCCCACAGACTGGACAATTTTGGAGCGTCACAAACGATGTATGTATGTAGAACATCTTTCGCTCCGTATGTCGCCAACCGTGCTAATCGGAGGTGCGGGGCTAATCGGAGGTGCACCTTTGGTGCTGGATCACAGGTGTGCATCACCGTGCCCGACCAAAGGGTTGCCAAGGACTCATGGGTCGCCCCTCAATGAATGAAGAAGTACAAAATCCCGAGTGAGGGGTACACCCACGGAAAGGTCAAATTAAACTGCCCTTTTGTCTGCGATTTTACTGCACCTACATACGATTAGAATCGCAATACGTGGCAGTGCAGCATTTCTAGTAAGCCGTGGTTGTGACGTTGTGATTGCGCAATCGCTTAATTCGACTGCGCAATCAACTGCGGCGCAGTGCCTATTGGGGGCAACAAGAAGACAAAGTGCCGAGGAGGGGGGCTGCGTCGCTGGCGCAGCGGTTGTTTCGGTTGCTTGGAACCGCCGGGTCAAGGGGAGCCACCGCAACACCGAGTGGGAGCTCTGAGCTATCAGGGAGCAACAGCGAGATGCAGGAGATGCGGAGAGAAACATGGAACCACACGGACACGCGCAGACGTGGAGAGAAACACACAAAAGCTTAGTCCTACCTACAGAGTCATTACAGTCTTACTGCGACTTGGCTGGAGTCAGTAGTAGTGTGGCTCTATAGATCCCAGGGCATGTTGGCTATTGAAGGTAGATGACTACGAGGCGCATTTAAGTCCGTGCAAAACATCGCCGAGTAGGTGAACTGCAGTTGGCTTTCTAACCGGCAAGTCAGTGGGGGGCACAGCAATCGTGGCAATGCCCCCCTTCCTGCCGATTGAGACTGACATGTTTTATTTATTAATATTTAGCAGAGAGAATGCATTAAATGATTTTTGATGTTGCAAGTTTGGCACCACCCCCCCTCACCTACTCAGAAAGTTTCTAGATCTGCCTCTGGTGTATGCGGCATTTACTTCAACGACTTAGAACCATGAAAGACAACAAATCGTAACTAGACCCTGTTTGCATTTAAACTTCATATGGACGGTAACACATAGCGTGCGGGATCTCCTCGCAGGCGCTGTTTTGTGCGACTCACCTGACGTAAAGCGAGATCGGCACCACGGTGTTGAGAAGGATGATGTAGCCCCAGAAATTGAGGAAGCCGGTCCAAACCGCCCATTCACTCACGGTGTCGGGGGTGGGAACGGCAGGGTCTCCGGTGATGCCACTGCAATATCGCCCAAAGCCCTGCCCATGGACGAGCTCCCATATGGTGTTGCCAATAGCAAGACCAGTGGCCATCACAAGCAGCATGCCGAAAATCTGCATGCACACACAGACACACACACAGACACACACAAAACACACACACAGACACACACAAAACACTGTCAGGCTTCTGCACACAACAATCGGAAACAATGCTATTGGATTTGGAGTAATGGTCTCACCCAGATAGGCAACACAATGGTCATGGCATTAAAAACTTCGTTTGATTGCAATATTAAATTGATATAATTTGTTTTATGACCGAATGATTTGGACATGCACTCTACGAATTTGTTTGCCGTGTCAGATTGCTAACATGCTCAACGGTCAAATCATAAAAATAAACTCAATTAGCAATATGGTCATGTGACATGTTGTACATTCTACTATACATGCTTAAGTTGTGCGAACTACTTGCAGTCATTCTACGGCACATAAACAATGGAATTACAGTTGAAGGGCCCTTACTAAAACATCTTAAACATTATCTTAATTTCATGTAACTCTGCATAACCACATACGTAACAATGAAGCCAGTATTAATCGTCAGCCACAAAACAAAATTAGTGATTTTCTCAACTCTGTGGAATTCCACCGCTAAATCTACCCAACCCATATTTTGATTTGAATAAATTGTTTTTATTTTGTCTGGATGTTGCATTCTTATGTATATGCGTGCCCTGTGTTGCACTGTCTTAAGATGGTCATATTATTTCGACAGCATATATAAATAGCAAATTATTACGAATGAAATGCCCACCAAAACAAGTTTGAAAAAAATCTGTAAACAATCTTACAAATCGCCATTGGTGTCATCACAATGATGGCAATCTGGCTAAAAGTAGTATCTACAACAGGGTGGAAACCAGCGTGAAATGGTATTTGTATAAACAAGAATGTAAAATTCGAAGATGACTTTACCAATTATTAACCATGGAGGGACCTAATTTTCCAGGAATAGAATGTGCAACCAGAATGAAACTAACACGACAAAGGCAGTGTCGGTATCTGCCGCAAATGTTCCAGTTCTTTCTTAAACACACTTGCGTTTGACCAAAGCAACGATAGCATTTTGTAAAGCTTACCATAAAAACGATTTTGTTCATTTGTTTGTCAATTTGTGTCCTCTTGAACTTCGTCTCCCCACTGTTTTTCATTATTTTGGTGTCAAAACCTGCAAACAAAAGAAACAATTTAATTCAAGTCATAGCCGTCACTGACAGACATCAATGCAGTGTTCGCCTGGCGTAGATATGCAATGTACACACACACAATGCTGCTTCGGCGATGGTCTCAGCTCAGCGCATTATTGAAAGTACTCTTCCGGGACTATAGCCCCGATGCACTATTATCCCTGGCTTTATACATTTGATATTTGCATCTGAAAGCCCTTTGTTGCAAAGCTACAAATGAGTGAGTTAATGTCTCTGCAGGTTAACCATGCGCATCACGTAACTTCAAATCATTTTTAGTCAACAAAACAACACTGACCACAAGGTGAGCACAAACGGTCAAAACTGCAGAGATTTTAGAGATAGGTAGATGTTTATTCTTTTTCAAAATGCATTCACAATTTGTATCCACTTTCGAAAATTACTTTTTTTAATCTATCTTCATTTTCCCTTTTCTCACAAATGTATTCCATAAGTCCTAGTCTCCATTCCATAAAACAATGGAATGTCCTTTCGGCACTCTTGCAGTCAGAGGTGTACTACATTGTTTTGGGTCGGTGGAGGAGGGTCTTGCAACAGACATTTGGGCCAGATCATTACGCTGCCCAACCCAAAAAAAAATCGATTTTGAATCATAATACAGGATGTAAAAAAACCTACATGCTAAATAGCCATTTAATCACAGCGCTATTCACGAGGCAATTTTCCAGCATATTAGGAACCCACGTTAGAAATTCTCAAAGTGGACTTGAATGACCCGAGTGTTTGGCTTGGGGCACCATGTACCTGCAAAGATCACGAGTCCGTGGCAAGTCTCCGTGTTCCGGATGCGGCAGCCACGAAGAAGCAGCTTGTCATTGTCCAGCGAGTACATCTTGTCCTTCCATTGCATGGTGCCCAGGTACTTGTCCAAGCGGTTGTTGGGAGCCTCGCTCATAATTATGGCTGAACTCAGTGAAGTGGAGGGATTAGGATGGGGGGAGACGAGAGGGGAGTAGGGGAACGTAAGATGCTTTGCTTTTGCTAAATTATTTTATACAACACGTGTCAGATGGAGACAACTTAAGAACAGATGCGGAATGCACGAGCAATACGACACACTACACGGCGATTTATCCGTAATTGCAGTGGTGCAGTGGTGCGGTGCGAGGGATGCGTTTCAAATTGAACAACGGACGTTAAGATTTTGTAAGGGTTCGTGCACTCCTCAGTATTAACTAGGGCGGCCACGGGGGTTCGAAGACACGCAACTCTGCAGCAAGCAGCAAGCTTGCCACCAAGCTTGGCAACGTCACCAAGCCCCCGTTGTTCTCAATCCTGTGTAGCACCAGGCCCTGTAGTAGCACCAATCCTGTGTAACACCAGGCCCTGTAGTAGCACCCTGTACTAGCACCAGGCCATGTAGTAGCACCAATCCTGTGTAGCACTAGGCCCTGTAGTAGCACCAATCCTATAGTAGTACCAATCCTGTGTAACACCAGGCCCTGTAGTAGCACCCTGTACTAGCACCAGGCCATGTAGTAGCACCAATCCTGTGTAGCACCAGGCCCTGTAGTAGCACCAATCCTATAGTAGTACCAATCCTGTGTAGCACCAGGCCCTGTAGTAGCACCCTGTACTAGCACCAGGCCCTGTAGTAGCACCAATCCTGTGTAGCACCAGGCCCTGTAGTAGCACCAATCCTATAGTAGTACCAATCCTGTGTAGCACCAGGCCCTGTAGTAGCACCCTGTACTAGCACCAGGCCCTGTAGTAGTACCAATCCTGTGTAGCACCAGGCCCTGTAGTAGCACCAATCCTATAGTAGTACCAATCCTGTGTAGCACCAGGCCCTGTAGTAGCACCAATCCTGTACTAGCACCAGGCCCAGGTGAACCACGATGGACTTACCATTAAAGTCAGAGAGTTCTTTTTCATTTGTCAGATTGTTGTGTGTCACCGTCAAGGCCTGCTTGAACTTCAGGTTGGACTCTCTAGTAAAACAACACAAGGGAAACGCACATTAACCCACATTCATGGTGTCTATTGACAGAGTGCTATATACAACAATGATTATATTACATTTTATCATTGGATTGTGTTGGACACACAAATAAAGGCATACATATGAATTGTAACGTAATTACCTACATTGGATTTGTTGATGACGTAAATTGTTATAGAACAACGAATGATGATGAACTGCAGAAAATTACTGAAGAACGAACCTCCGAAGTCCACGAAACTCGAGTTCAACAGCTCATAAAAGAGCACCCTTATCACTCACAATTATCTTGTTTGATTTGTTTATCTGTTGTGTTCTCATACCTTTTTAATGTTAATTTTTGTTATGTTGTAAAAGGTTTGTGTGGGGGGTTAAAATGTTAAGCGAATTGAGATGCAATTTGCCCGAATCACACTATCGAAAAACAAATTATCATCATCATCAAACGATGAGACGCAATCCTACTTTAGATCCTGAGATCAAGGAAACAGAGTGCAGCAAAGGGTCAGGCCAAAGATTACCCATCCAGCTCAGCTGTCTCCAGATAACACAAGCTGTTGGGTTCTGTTGTAGACAGCAGCAGCATGTCAGCCTAGACAGAGGCGCAGGGCAAGACCAACAGCAACAGTTAGACACAATATACTACCGTGTTTTACGCGTAGTTGTAATAAAAAGAATAATGTATAGGCCCCTGACCATGAATCTATGCAGCTCAGTGCAGTTTGGCAAAAGGGGGGCTAGGCTCAGATCTCATTCGTCACTGCTGATAGCCATGGCCAGGAATTGAACTCGGGTCGCTAAACACAATTATTTTATGATCCTTACAGGAAAGAGTGTGAAAAGTAAAGTTGTTAAATGATCACGAGGCCAAACGTGTTTCTGTTTTTTGAACGGATGTTAGAAGCCATATTACATGGTGTGACGTCACACGCCAACATCACAAGATGCAGCCCCACAAGGCAACCATTAGGAAGGCGTTTCTTACATAAGCATTCCCTGCATCATCACCGCTGGTTTAGTCTTTCTATTTTAAATATTTAATCATTGGGACACCCGTCCGAGAGACTGCATCATCAATCATTACTTCGAACCAAAAGTCAACGGAAATTGTTCCGATGACTGACTGCAGTGTGTTGTGGGTTGCACCATTTCGCAACACACGTGACAAAGAAAGGTAAACCAGGTACACTGTGCATGACACAACATGGGATGTATTTGGTGAGAATGGAAACTTATCTCTAACCCTTGCCCCTACACGTCAGTTTAGTTGAGGAGTTACACTGCAGGTTATTGCTTTTAGGGTTAATTTCAATGCTAACAGTGTTCACAATGTACATGTTACACTATTCACAAGCACACTAACAAATTAAGTGGACAGCAATGGCCAGACGTTGCTAGCATATTAACTAGGGTATCTAATCAGAAGGGCTAGTTGAACTTACTGGCACAAAATCATTTTTCTTTAGCCTTAAGAGGTCTCCCACTTGTATGTTCATCCACTTATCTTCTTTGAAGCTGCAATGGAAAATGGTGCAGTGAGTTATGACAACGTCATGTCTCAAAAGTGAAATAATGCGATAGTTCATGTTGCCCACAATGGCACCGAATTGGCACGGCCACATATTTCAGACACTCATCTCACCTTCCATTTTGCATTATTTCACATTTCCTGTTATTGATCTGCTTGTCACTTCTGTGCCTTGACTGAACAAAACAAAGCACATGTTAAAGGCAGAGTATTTACCAAGTGGGCTCACCATTTAGAACAAGCAAATAATGAAACATTACATTTCACATTGGCTAGTACTCATGAATTAAGGATACTGAAATGTGATATGTATGTTGAACTTCTGTCGCACTGTACGTAGCCAACCGTGGTAATCGGAGATGCGGCGAAGGACAAACTCGTGGTGTGATTGTACCAGGTGAAACCCACACACAACGTTTGTCAAAGCTAAACTGCCCCCCACAGGTGGCAACCAACATTGCGTCAAACAATAACAAGTACAATATCATTACCTAATTAAGGTTAAAGAATGCTTACTCTTCTGAAATTTCTACGTTGAATTCACGGGATTCAGAAAAGTTTCCAACGAGCACGGCAGGATTAATATTGGAACAATATGTCCTCAATGAAAATCCCATCTCAGCGGTCTGCTGATGAAAGCAACAAAGGAGTTGCCAGTTGGAAATGCCACCTCCTGCAGGTAGGCAGGCAGGTAGTGGTACATGTTCCTTTGTACGAAAACACCCTATCTTATTACCAGTGCTGTGTATTTTAAGAGGTAAGAGAGACCAACATGGTAAATTAATATAGCTACGTATAAAACGTGGGGGTTGCCACAGGAGATGAGGAGTTGATGTAATATTTGTTGACAGAGACACAATTTGTGCATACAGTAATACATTTAGTACCGAACGTATTTCACAGTTGGGTTTAAGGCATAAAGGAAGCTATATTGACTTTAGGCGTTGGCTATCCTGGTTTAACTCACAATATCATCCACAGCATCCTTGATGGCAGTAATTGAGAGCACAATAACCAGCGGTACAAAGGTGGTGTACCACGCCAGGGACGAGATGATTGGGATGGCCTGCAAGGAAAGATACAAAGATCAGCAATGGGGAGACAGACAGCAGAGGTACGCGACAGGAGACCGAATGAGACCGCAGGTAAAAGACTAAAGTACACAATGCGAAAGAGGGACAAAGATGGAAAACAATGCATGACAAGCAACAGTTTACAGCATAATCGTAATTCAAATTACAGATAAAGCTGACGTATATTTTTCAAGTTCTCCCTTGCCTAACAAATTTACCATTAAATGGGTTCTCATGGAATAAAATAAAGGCTTGTCTTTCATATTATCCATGAGAAATTGCATTCTAATTCTACCACCAAGAAATAAATACAAATTATGAAGAGCATAACTCCAAATATTTATCTGAAGTGCAATGCTAAAATAATATATAATCTCCCCCTAGGCAGTTTTTAGTATTGTGAATGTACAGCAAGTATCCAGACACAAGCAGGACCCTGCAGTCAGCAATGAGAACACTAGGATCCATTCTTCAGTCTTGGCACAAAGGGGCCCTTAAGTGTTGCAGTGGAAGTCTCTCAACATGCCCTTCACCAAACATGGATATTGGTGGAACCTTTCATAGCTACAAGCAGGGCTTAATGTGTCACGCTGCTAGGCTGCGTGACGTCACGTGTCGCGTACTTTAACATGAAAGACATGAGTGAGTCCTCATTAATGGCAGTTTAATATTGAGGACTAGGAAGTTAAATTTGAGTCCCGTCCTTAAGGACACCTGGTGACCCTGCACAATATAAACACAAAAGGGTTGTTTTTTTGCACACCACCGCCGTATCATACGGACAAAATAACCCGACATGGATGTGATGTCTTAAGATGTATTCCCGAAACAGCATTCTGAACTGTTCTGGCTGAAATTAAACACTGGTTACAGCCGTTTTAAAAATATATATACTCTATGTGTCATGCTAACCTTGCATTTGTAGACAGAAACCATTCGTTTTCATTATCAAATACAACATGGTAAAGCTCAGGGCACACCAGCATGAAATTATCACGCTTCCACGGGCTGACAATATGCTTACCTGCAGGATCAGCAGGAACAAAAAGTACACATTGGCCACCCGTTGGAATTGCTCGAGCAGATTCATGGGCAGAAAAGTCACGAGGTTGTACTTGGCAGTTTTGATGTAATTCCCCTGAAATGAAAGGGCCCGCGTGATACAGGTTATTAATATAATGGAGTGGCGGCAGTCCTCTTTGGAAAATGTGAAGGAAGGTGGACCGGTCACAATTCACTGCAGTTGAACGAACATTATGAATAAATATTTGTATGTAAAAGTATAATTTGCTTATCCAATGCACACTCACCTTGTACCGTTTTTGCTTCATACAGTGATATTTTGGGACCGTGAATTGGCCGTTGAACTCTCGATCGTTTGCCTTGACTTTCCATTCCTCTGTAAAAATAATAAAAGCAATTTTTTCCATCACTGGAAATCTCAATGCAAAAACTCATCATTTTCTTTGGGATCTCTTTCACCAAATGTATTCCAATTGTGCCCATGGCGTCATGGCACAGCACGTGAAACGCATCACGAATTGCCGTCGAAGACATTTTCTTCGTAATAATGCTTTAAGTGGTCGTTTGATCACTTTCATGGCATGGGTCTCACACTTTCCCATGTACTGTGCTAGGAGACGTTTTGCTAAATGACAGTCAAACTCATATTTATTTGTCCGACCTGGAAATAAGTGCAAAAAGCAGATTTAATATGAAACTCCAATTTTTTTTCTTTGTGTGCGGTCATTGGTGGCTGCTCTGAGACCATCAAACTCACTCGCGGAAGATTAATGAAGGGTGGCCACCTGGATTCAAACCCATGATTTCTGCACTGCCAGCTTCGTACTACCTCTGATCTCGGAGCCACCCAGCCATCTGTGTATCGACTGGAAGAAGCCCAGGACAAGGCTCTTCTGGTACTGCTCCAGTGACACTTTCAGTCAGCAACTTCCCACAGACAAATTTCCAGTCACCATTTAGGAAGTCAGAAACGAGGCCCTACTGGCCAAGTACGATGTGGCACACCCACAATATTACACACTAGAGGAAGTTCTATTGTTTCCTCGACACATCGCACCGTGAACCACTGTTTTGGCGATGCTGCCGCACTTTGGGTATCACCGCCAGCGGCGGGTTAACAGGTGTTGGGGTTCCATGTAAAAGTTGTAGCCACTGCTGAGAAAAAAACCTTCCCTCGAGGGAATTCTAAATAGCTACTCTCGAGGTAATTTTTGGCGGTCCAAAATATCTGCCCTCAAAGCGGCCCTCATTTTTTTTCTCTGCCTGGGATTGTCTATGCTGTTCTTTAAGTTGGTTTTAAAAACGAGGTTTCTTTTTCTTTCATACACTCTTTTCGGGGGAGCAGTGGTGCCACGACGGACATGGGTGCCGCCAACATGGTGAAGTATGGTCACAAAACCCCAATGGCCCACATGGTGTGGAGAGGTCTTCATCCATGCAGTGGACTGAATAATGGCTGCGTACTGTATTACACTTGGCTACTCCACATGTGTCTCCTATTTTGATCCCAATTTTAGTGGGGTTCTTTTTTATACATCTAAATAATATATGAATTAAAATGTCAGCTATTGTAACGGCTTTGGGAGCTGATGCAACGCTAACTACGTAGCCTCTACAAATGATTGTGTGATGAGAGCTGCAGAAGGGATGTTGATCCTGCAGACTTCCACAATGGAGGCCCCCTAAACACAAGCCCCATTCGAGAATGTCCGTTTTCTCTCTCCGACGGGTGTCCAGGTTGCACTGCGTACTGTTGGGCGCGATGCCCGGCGTTACGAACGCAAATTCGGTCCCTGAAGAAGTTCCCGGCACGTGCAGCAAAATCGTTGGCCATCGTGCGGAACAGCACGCGGCAATAACGCGACAGCACATCGGAGAGCTGTATAGCGCAATGTTCGCGTTTTATACTTGCGGTGTTTAACTACTTATCAGTTTGTACCAAGGCACGGACTTCACCTCAAGATAACACAGAGCACACTCCCTCAAGGTAAGCACAGCGAATAATTCGTTGTGCAATCCACAGGGATCTCCTCTTATCTTTCTTTAGCAGTGGGACTCTCTCCTCACATGCTCTTTCAGAATAGCGCTCGTATCGTAGCATGGTAAACAAAACCTAACGAACCAATCAATACATTCTACAACATTCTTAAACAGTAGATGTTTCATGTGTGGCTGTTTAAGTTTTAATAAATATCCTTAACTGGTGATGCATTTTTGCTTTCGACCTTCAACTTTTTCTTTATTTGCTTATCCTCCTTTTAACGGAATTTTTGGTTCCTGTGACCTAATGTATGACCTAATGTTACTTGTTTTTAATGATGTCATTGCAACAAGGTGTAGGTAGAGCATTTTCTCTTTGCTTACCAGATGGAAAACACTGGAATGGCTTTAGAATACACTATTTCCATTGTTTAATCAGTCAATCGACTTCATTAACCTGCCCTGAACAAGGGACCCTTCAGTGACTGGAAGCAAGTTGATTTTTGTTCTGCCGACTCGTTCGTAAATATGCAGCCGAGTTGGCCACGTGGCCGGAGTACCCAGTCGCAATGAAGATGGCTGCAAGCGCAAAGGCCAGTTGGAATTAGACTAAGCCCATCGTCCCTTTGGGAGCTGACTAAATTAACATGATGATGATAAGGCCTTAATACTAATGCAAGTAGTGTGGTTCAATATGTACCGCTCGATCATTCGGCTCCCGATATCAGCCAAGCTACACAGGCCTTAATCGCGTTTTTTTTGCGTTAGAAAGTGTAAATATAAATGAGTCGTTAAACCCACCACCACCCGGCGGCACAGCCAATTAGTAAGGTTTGTCACGTGAGCAAAACATGAAAATTCGTTACGATGTCTCCACAGAGTAAACCCACAACATTGACAATTCGAGTACAACATTTCGTCGGTAATTACAACCAGCCTCATCAGGCAAGAGCCAGAGTTGTGGAGAACTCCTCCTGTTACTAATTGGCCGTGTCGGGTGGTGGCGGGTTTAACGACATTTTTATATTTACGCGATCCAAATAAAAAAAACCTCTTATGGATATTGGTGGCAAAAGCCAACATGTTAAACTATACAAGCCTGCAAGGTGGCCAGGTGAAGGCAGCGCAGCAATAGATTGAATCTGACTGTGAAGAGATTGAACTGTTATCCCCTTGTTTGTGTGCGTTTTTCTCTGGGTTCTCCACTTTTCTTCGAGATGCCAAACACTAATTGATAGAATTGGTGAAACCAACCTCTGCCGAGTCTTAATGACTCGACAGAGGTTGTCCTTCCAGAATAGAACATCACTGTATTATTACAGTACAAACTAGTGAGGAAGGTTGCTAAACCACGGCCATCATCAAGGAATTCATCACACCACTTTGTCAATAGGCTCTTGTTACCTCACAAAGACTGCCCCCACTGAACATTCAGGTTTTGAATCAAAGCAAGCGGTGCATTACAGGGGCAAGTCCCTGCCCATCTCTCCACTGCAGTACTCACGTTGCACACGTGAATGTTGACTCTCGAGCCATTCAGGTGGGGGAGGTTGGTTGGCAATCTCCAGCTGTCTTACTATTTGCAAAACATTACTGAAGTAACAAATATTTACCATTACACTATGTTGTTCAAGTGATGGCAGTCGAACGTTTGTTCTAAATTTAAAATAACCTGAGCTTTAAATTAGCGAAGTGTTGAGAGGGTAGAGCGCTGATGAATGATTAATTTGCAAGATGCATTTTGTCATATGGCACATTGCCCTGGCCAATGTACGTTTTTTTTTTGCGATGACAGGAAACTGGAGAACCGAGGAAACCCACGGAAAACAGGGGGACACTTTGTTGTGAGGAACACATGTTTACCACTGCGTGATATGTTTCCTATATGTGCCTTAGTCATATCAGCAGTGTCAACATTGGCATCTATGGAGGAGGGTTTTTAAGGATTCTACTGGGCAGTTGGAGGCAGTTGCCCTCCAGCAGCAGCGGAAGGTAGAGAAGCGACGCTCACAACAACGAGCGGAGCTCCGGGCAGCTAAATCGCATCGAGTTGGCACAGTAGGGGGCACAGGTGGGGCAACTGGCAGTCATCTCAGTCAGTCAACCCATGGCACCTGGGTTTGTCCCGTGACCTCCTGCCAGCAAGTCTTCGACACTTCACGTGGCTTAAAAGTGCACCGAGCCTGACAAGCACCGTGGTGGAAGTCACCACCGCTTAGTGGCAAATAGCGGCTGCTCCTCTTGGTCATACAACTCTTCTAGCTAGCCATAAAATCCTCAAGCCACTTCCACAGCGATCACCTTCGTACTCACCAGGCTCATCGCCAGGATTCTTTTTGTCTTCCCCTTTACCGCCGTCCTCATTCTCATCCAAATCGTCGTCCGTGTTGTCGTCATCCTGGTCGTCGGTATCCCCGGACTTCTCCGCATCCTCGTACAAGTTCTCCAACGCGGGGCCCTCGTTGCTGTCCATTCCCGAGTCGGAGCCGTTCATCTTCGGGTCCCAGTGGCTGCCGATAGGGACAAGAGTGGTGGGGCTCATTACATTCGGGGACGAATCATCGAGCTTAGCAGATTTTGTTTATTGGAATAGTCACATGCTTACGGCAGCAATGCAATTTCATAAATTACATTTGCAACTTCAAATCCTGGCTGGGGCTGATGGAAATCATCATCCCTCCAGGGTTAATAAGGTAAATAGCGCTCTGTGGGAATGTAAACATGTGTTTGTTCTATCGATAGACTCACACCCACCAGGGGAATGTGGAATTTCCAGCACCGGCTCAGGGCTCTACACAGGAGATGAGCACCGCCTCAAAGCTCATTTGAACCGGAATTCACTTTGCGTTGATAAACTTAAGTCACTAAAACGTAGCAAAGCCGTAGAGAGCCCAGTTCGATAAACAGTACTGGGATAAAAAAAATCCTGATATTTTACGTTTCCACAAAAGGAACTGTATTAAATTACCGGGTTAAAGGTCACGAACCAGCCAATCAGACCGTTGGCTATTGATGTAGCTACCTCACTGTTGACTGAAGAGGTATAATTTTAACTTTATTAATATAAATACAGTACACGAAATGAAAGAAAATCGCTGCACACGTTAAATGTATTTTTAAAAAACAATACTTTGTAATTTATATTTCAAATTGGATTCAGTTCTAAAAGCTTGTTTATAAACGAGGAGTTGGGGCACAGCTGGCTTCTTCAGACCGGCAGGAATGTGGAGCTGACACATGACCCACCCACGTCAGCTGGAACATCAGCAACGAACTTTGCCTAAATTATAATTTCTCCAGAAATTGCTTTTCTTGCTGGCGTCAGCACGTTTTCCCGATCGCGATTCAAGCCACGCTGACGGAGCAGAAATTCGCATTCTTTTGTCCGTTTAAAACAACCCTTTAGAACGTAACACTTAAAATATTGTCACTCGTATACAGTACGATCATAGCAAAAGTAAAATACTGTTATGTGTCCACTAAATGCGGGTCTATGCCATACAGACCCAAGACACAACGCAGTCAAACAGGAATTGACAACAGGATCTGTGGTGTTTGTCCAACTGTGTCCCCACCAACGAGCGTGATTGAGCAATCACAGTGAAATGGGGTGATGAGGAAAGCCACGCACACACAAGCTGCTGCTGCTGGTGGTGGTTTCGCAATGCATAGTTTGAGCGGAGAGACGTGACTTGTGAATCATACGACTGTACATCAGGAGTGACCATTCCACAGCTTGTGCCTGTCTTTACGCTCACGCGCGCCTTCCCCATCAGGCACACGGGCAGCTACTGCCGTATTAACAAAACCAACGCAAATATTAATTCAATGTTAAGTCATCATTTAATACGTAGGCATTCGCAACCAATATCATGCCTAACATAGGTTTTTTTTCGGTTAGATCCCGTAAATATAAATGTGCCGTTAAAGCAGCCAGCACACGACACAGCCAATTAGTAAAGTTTGTCACGGGTTACATTAACAATCCTGTTCACTAGTTACTTCCATGGAGATTATCCCCTTCTGCGATGTTAATGTGGCAACTGTACAGCGTTTTACCGTGCAATTGTTTGAATCACGCCATTATTAAATTGAAGTATTATTCCGGTCAAGTTAGGTAATATTAATTATAGGTGAAATTGCACTTTCAAGAACAGGAGTCGCGGCTACTGGGGGTTAATAATGTGTACGGGGAGTTATGTTGTCCTCCGGCAGGTTGCGAGGGACAATCGCTCGGTTATCTCGGAGGACTTTATTGAGACATTGCAGTGGAGGGTTGCGTCGCCTGGTTGCAAACTCAGGAATTTTGTGTCGGTGATAACGGAGCAACGCGAACCAACCACGTAATTGCGTGTTTTGTACATTTCGAGTCTCCTTAACCAAACTGTTAACACATCATTGAAGTAAAAATTAGCTACATGTTTAAAAAACTTCATGGAGAAAATCGTTGCATTACAACATTCAGAAATTTAACATCGTTTCACTCGGCTCACCGTCTCTCCGCGGTCTATAATTTGCATCCAACTTTGTACGAGATCATCATTATCATCAGCCATGATCAGTCCACCGTTGGATGAAACCCTTCCCAACCCATGGATATTCCACATTCCAGCGATGGCACACAAGTAGAACTCCTCTTAACCATGACCCTATTATCTGCAGGTGCTATTATCCACTCAAATTCTCCCTCTTATCCACGAATCTTTGGAGTTTTTCCATCCTCCATGTAATAAGGCTTCATATTATCCACATTTTATTTCTGCAGCTTGGAGGAGTTGCGTGGGAATTGGTCCTATCATTCATGCAAAAACTAATTACGCGGGCAGCAAATGAACAACGGTATTTTAAATGTCCATTCCACTGCTGATGGATGAACAACTAAACATCCTGCAGGGAATTATGGCCTAGGAGCAAAACCTATTATTATTGCATAAGCCTGACTTTTACATAGCAGACCGCCTGACCGTGACCCCCAGACGGATCTTTAAATGTCCATTAACTTAGCATTTTAAAGGGGCAACATTAGCATTGGCATGGCCAGGGAGTCATACCTACGCAATTCCATGGCTATGGACAGTGCACACGCAACGGTAAAAACAGTGCGTTTTAGTATCCACTAAAACAATGTTCTTATTGTCCCCACATTTATGGCAGTAAAGTTGATTCACATAGCAAATACATCCTAATATCTGTGGCTTCTCCATAGGCCTTGATCATCCTCTTGTTTTGGAATTTACATTGGGAAATGTCATCATTACTCATCACATTTTTCACAGAAAATACACGATTGGCAAATTCATCCTCTTATCTGAGACTTTTTACGGATAAGTGCAGTACAATCGTGGACATGGCAGGATCAGTGGTGTAAATCCCTCGCCCTGTGGATTAGAGTTCGCCTTCAGCTTTATTCTTTTTACATTTCCCTTGAAGTAAACCCACTCACACGATACTACCCTTCTTCTGTGCGAACAAGGCCACAAAATCCGGGGTTACTTGACTCATACTTGACTCAGCCCAACAAAACATATTTCGCCGTCTGCACAACCCCTGACAAAGATCCCCCGTGTAGCCTTAACAGACTGTTGGGGCAAGTGCTGTTGGCGAGCACCTACGAAGACCGGCAGGCACACGAGTGGGTGGCCTGCACCATGACCCGACACGCACACACACGGACCCTCTCAGGATCAATAAAATCCATGCTTGCACAACAGGCGGCTGCTAGACTTTGGACAAACTCATCAGGATCACCTTGAAGACATATTCCAGAGCGACCATTAATAGCCCAACGCTTTTCACATGACGGTATCGTGCACACGTTTTTTCTAAAAAGTATGCTGCGTATTTGATGCCTAGCCAGGATTTTGAACGCACAACTTTCCTAACCCAAAGTCAAGAGAAGCATATTACAACAACAAAAAAACGCATGACCATATAATAATCTGCTTTAGAATACAAGTACTCCCGTACGGTAATTCCTCATTTAAGGTGGTAAATGCCTTCCTGAAAAGTGTCGCATTAAGCGAGGAATTACTGTCCGGTATATACATTACAGGGCACTATAAAGTCAGCCTGCCATCATGCCATGGCGGGAGAACGAAGCGAGATGAGGGCACGCCGCCGTGAAGATTATCGTTCCGGGAATATACCCAGAATTCCCGTACCGCCCAGAAACCGCGTTGCAACGGTGTGTTCCGCGTGATATCGCACTTCATACAAAGAGTATTGTGGTAATTTTACCAAAAATGGCTTCATTGTTAACAAGGTCAGAATGATCCATTGAAGCGGGTGGGTACACGAGGGCAAGGCCCAGACAAACTCAATAGTTCACCACTTCCCATGGGGAGGGTGAACCCAGGCCTAGACCAAGACCAAAGGAAGACCCTTTCATTGTGTGCGATTAACAAATGCTCTACCATAGTATTTAGATGGCATTGGTAAAGGTGATGGCTGAATTAACAACATAAACCCTAAACTATTTATTTTATATTACCAGGTGAGGCTTACTCAGTGTAAAGAATAGGCCAAGGCACATTGTGCCGGTAAAACGGCAGGATAAACATACATTCGCAAATCCTCCACACACTTAGCAGACATGCTGTAAAACCATGACGTTCATAAAGCACAGGTAACCAAACCCACCCTCTTCAGAACAATTTAACAGATCGTGCAAACATTTATTTTTGTCTAGGCTGCCTTCTGCCTCCCGGACATAGCAGTTACATATTTATACACAGTACCCGACTGTTTTATTTATGCTTTGAACTTTGAAATGAAAAACAACTTCCATTCAATCTTCAAGTTGCCTTTGTGAACAAAATTCTAGCGCACTGGAAGTGTATACATTTAATCTGCAGGCCTGAAGTCCAATACTTCGTGTTGATTTTGTGTTGATGTCGACCATTGGCAGCATGGACAGAAATGGGGAGCGGGGACCATGAGTGAGAGACATTCCACTCTTTTTTTCCACTTCTTTTGTACGGCTACTGTCGATGCAGAGCAACAACCACAAGCAACAACCACAATTTCACATTCAGGTGGTTAAGCCAGCAGACAACCGCATCAGGAGCAGCGGAGTGTATCGCTGTGATGTCTCCTTCGTATTCGTGGATCGGGCATTGCGTCGTTATACGTTGTATGGTCTGTTCTGGATGACCACAGACGCACACTGGAGAATTGTTAATTTTCCATTTGTGTATCAACTATCTGCATCTGCCATGGTTTGTGCAGTGGATGCGGTTTAGGGTGGACCATGAGCTTCGTGGAAGATCTTTTGCGTTTGGTCTTTCACAAGGTGTTTGCGAGTTCTTTCAAACTCCATTCAGCTCGCCAACGCTTCATCGGGGTCGAATTCACACTGTTTAATGTTAAGCACATGGGTCTTTTGCCACTGGAACATCTGCACCAGGGCCATGCTGAGCCAGGCTGCCGCAAGTCAGAGGGTGGAGGTTGTTGTTTTTCTACCGAAGAAGCCGAGCCGTGCCGCTGACATCGCACGTAAATGGTGACGGAT